ATAGGTAATGAAAACCTTGTTTATAGTAGGTCTATTTGACCAGGAAATGTTTAAGAGCAATTTATGAAAAAAAAGATTATTGTGACAAATAATGTCTAGAATTTATTGAAATAAAAAATTATCACTTACAAAGTATATTATTTTATAGTAAAAAGACCACTCAAATTATTTTAAAGTATGCCTCTGGTGAGCAAACTTTGGTATTTAATGAGATCTCTCATAACTATTTATTTTTACTATGAGTTTTTTTGCTGTATAAAAAGCATAGCATAGTATGTATTAGTAAGTGTGAATGAATTTATAAGACTGGAATTGAGTAAGGAAAAGATAGTATTTTCTTATGCTTACTATGTTACTACCCTGTTGGAAAATTAATTTTTGTCGACAAATAAATATTGTTAAGAAGTATGCTCTAATAAACTATCCTTTAATAGTAATATTGAAAACTATGTATTCAAGTATTGATTCTGTTGCTATTACTTAGCCACTGTAGTAATAATGGGGAACTGAATTAATTATCATAAATTGTTGGTGCTCATGATGAATGATTGTAAGGGAATACTACAAAAGGTTGAATGTTCCTGAGAAGTAGAATTGAAAAGAATAAAGAGTATGTTTTCAACATTTTTTTCTTTCTTTTATTAGAACCTTTTTATTTTTCCTTTCTGATTTCCCATGTTGAGAGAGAGTTTTATGTCTCTAACACCCAATCTGGGCATCAGTTTATTTTATATTCTGGTTAAATGGTAGTCTAAAAACTATTTAACAAACTGTTACAGACTCCATTTATTCATCTTTTCTGGATTTTTTAGTAAACTAAACTATTCTTGAGTAATGAAAGTAATTAAACTTTAGGCAATAATATCCTGTTAACATTTTACAACAATTACATGTTTGAGGCAGAAATCTTCTTCCTTTCTGTAAAATGCATGTAATTGCTATGAAATTAATAACATTGGTACTGTTAGTGCAAACATTTAATGATATTCCATCCTATTCCCTTTTTCAATTTTAGGCCATAATAATTATTTGGAGTGTTTCTTTTATTCATTTTTAATGAATCCGAAAGAAATAAACTTAAAACAATGCTTTAGATGGATACAGCAGAACATCCAATTTGACTCATTTCTTGTTTTCCTTCTTCCTTTTCTTTCTTATATAATCTTATTTCCTAGTAGCAAAATTAAGTCTGTAGAAAGAACAGAATTTGAGGTGTATTTTAGCACAATAACCTCACTGGATATTCAGATGCTGATGGACAGAGCCACAAGACTCAGTAGGTCATGTTGTATTCAGCATGTTCAGCTCTATCCTTTTTTTGTTGTTTTCAGTTCCATAATTTCAATAAAACTTACTTTGAAGTGAATCAATATAAAAATCATTTTCCTCAAAGCAAATGTGTAAACTTTGGCTGTAGTCATTTTTAAGCAAAGAACATCTCATTGGATATTATTATTTAAATGTAATTGTTGTACAAAATTACATTTAAAAAGGAATATGAATAGTTTGTGTATTTTATAAAGTCAGAGTCTTGAATCTATTTTTTATTTTTATTTTCTTTAAGAGACATTTTGACCTTACTGTAAAGGTAAGCAAGAGAGGACATTTGAGCTTTGTGTGTCCTTAGGAATAACTTTTGATGAGAATTTAATAAGACAGAAAATAATACCTTGCTAAATTATTAACTTTAAATCTTTCATTTAATTAGAATTTAAAGATTTATAGAATACCCTAATACCCAGGGACATGACTCAAAAAGAATTGGAACTTTCTAGCTTTCTGTAATCTTACCAAAGTCTTAGCTGTATAACTGTCATGAAATGCCATGACCAATGTTGAGATCAACCTCTTAATTAACATAAATTAGTCATTTGGTTTTTTGCTTCTCACTCTAAATGTTTGCAAGCTGATAATCATAGTGAAACCAACTGTTTGAAATGCATAAGCATCATCCTTTGAAAATAGCAAAGGCAATGCCTATATTTAATCGGAGGATTACTTAAATCTAGAAATACAAATATAATTTTTAAAGTAAAGATTTGCTATGGTTTATTTGAAAATATACTTCATTTCTTTCGTGTTGTGTCAACTCTTTCTCCGTCTTATCTATCTTTTGGTATACTTAACAAATATTACTCGTTGAATGTCCTTTATCCACATCCTAGCATTCTAAGATTCATGCATGCAACAATCTCATCCTGTATGGAGGCTTTCATTGAGATTTATTTGTAAAGCAAAAAATCCAGTTTTATGTTAAGTAGGTGGGTTGCTAATCTACAAGAATGCCATTCTTGATCAGGCCTTTATGAATTGTTTGTAAGTACCAAACTGGACAATGAAAGCTTTATATTCATCCTGCAATTAGCCAAAATAATTCTCGTTAAACTCTGGTAAAAACTTCTAGTATGAAATGAATGTAAAGTATTCATTCTTTATCTTTCTTTCTGGTTTCATTCTAGCTCATGTATCTATATAAAAACAATCCTCTAAGTCTCTTTTTCACTGGTTTTTGTGTTGCAGATCGAAAATGTTGACGTCTGCCTTAGTTTTCTAGCAGCCAGAGGAGTAAATGTTCAAGGTCTATCCGCTGAAGGTAAGAAAAAACGCACTTGTCACAAATGGCATCAATGTTTCTAAAATTTTTCATAGCCTAAGAAATACAATAGAGTATAATAGAATACATACAATTAGAGTATATAACTACTTAATACAATAAAGGAAATTGGTAAAGTTTTCAAAATAATAAAGCATAAACATGATTA